TGTAACATTCGGTGTGTATATGTGTGAGTGTTGCAGTCCCCGATAACTTATGCAGTCCATCTTTACCCCTTGCTGTACCCGGTAACACTCGGTGTGTGTATGTGTGAAGTGCTGCAGTCCCCGGTAACTTGCGCAGTCCGTCTTTACCCCTGGCTGTACCCAGTAACATTTGGTATGTGTATGTGTGAGTGCTGCAGTCCCCGGTAACTTGTGTAGTCCATCGTTACCCCTTGCTGTACCCGTAACACTCGGTGTGTGTATGTGTGAGTGCTGCAGTCCCGGTAACTTGTGCAGTCCATCTTTACCCCTTGTTGTACCCAGTTACATTCGGTGTGTGTATGTGTGATTGCTGCAGTCCCCGGTAACTTGTGCAGTCCATCCTTACCCCTTGCTGTACCCAGTAACACTCGATGTGTGTATGTGTGAGTGCTGCAGTCCCCGGTATCTTGTGCAGTCCATCTTTACCCCTTGCTGTACCCAGTAACATTCGGTGTGTGTATGTGTGAGTGCTGCAGTTCCCGGTAGCTTGTGCAGTCCACCTTTACCCCCTACTGTACCCGGTGACATTCGGTGTGTGTATGTGTGAGTGTTGCAGTCCCCGGTAGCTTGTGCAGCCCACTTTTACACCCTGTTGTACCCAGTGACGTTCGGTGCGTGTATGTATAAGTGTTGCAGTTCTCAGTAACTTGTGCAGTCCACCTTTACCCCTTGCTGAACCGGTGACATTCGGTGTGTGTGTGTGTGAGTGTGGGTGTGTGGGCTGCAGTTCAGTCCCTTCCCCATTGTTGCTGTAACCGGTGACTTCCGAAAGTGATATGGGGCAGTCAGGCACCCGAAGTAGAAAACAGAGGCACGGGGCTAGGAGTTAGGATACGTCCAACGGACCTTCTTTCACATCCATCCGCTATAGCCAACCACCCCCGACCCTCCTTCCTCCTCCATCACCCACGTCCATCCACCATAGCCGGACCACCCCAACCCTTCTTCTTCCTCGATCACCCACACCCATCCACCATAGCCGACCACCTCCAAACCTTCTTTTCTCTCCATCTCTCACACCCGTCCACCATAGCCGACCACCCCCAACCCTTCTTCTTCCTCCATCACTCATATCTGTCCACCATAGCCGACCACCTCCAATCCTTCTTCTTCCTCCATCACCCACACCCGTCCACCATAGCCGACCACCTCCAACCCTTCTTCTTCCTCCATCACCCACACCC